TTTTGTGAAAGATCATGTCATTTTCTGGTTGATCTCAATGAACCTATAATCCAGTTCACACATGAACATCCAGAGGAAGTTCTAATTTTTGGTACTTTGAATTGTGCAAAACTTGCCAATATTAGTTTTAAGGCCATTTATTAGAATTGTACATCAATTAATTAGCCATTCCAACTGGCCGAACCTCACTGTCAGTTTCCATATGAAAGGATGGCATATCATGATGTATTGTGCACAAGTGAGGTTTATTTTGTATGCTCGTTTTGCAGTACATTGTTCTATTTATGTTTTGCAGCTTCAAATGGGATGATCTTTTTAAGATATATGCGTTAATAGTATTAGGGTAGTATGTGTAAATTGTTAATAGTAAGAGGGTGCATGTGTAATTCTTATTATCGTGTGTTAACTATAAATACAAGTGATGTATAAGAGTTAGGTTAAGTTTTTAACCTCTCTCTTTCTCTAATATTGTGTTATGTTATTTCTCTCAACTTTACATGGTATCAGAGCAATTTCGATCATACATATATTTTGAATAAATTAACTCATTTCATGTTGATACTATTGTTCGTCGAAGCCATCGTGGCGGTAGTGGTATTGTTGTCATGGTTGATCTCTGTGTTGTGGGAGTGTTGCTGTCGTGGTGGTTGCAGTCGACTTGGTGTTGCTTGCTGATAGTGGTCATAGCTGTGGTCGGTGATCGTTTGACTGGTTGTACTGCAGTGGTGGTGTCGTTTGCTGTTTGTGGTCGTCAATATTGTTGTCACCTATGTAAGACGTGAGAGTAATTTTGCTATTGTCGTCGTTGGTTGGTGCTGAAGCAGTTGTGGTTGTCGTCGCAGGTAGCTGTGGTCGCCATCGCTTGGTTGTGCCACTGTTAGAGGCGAGGGTTTCATTGGAACCCTAACTGTGAAGAAGATGAATAATGTAGGTTGGATCGGATCTTTCATGGTTGCATGCTTAAATTAATTCTAAAGCCCAGCAACCCAAGTTCAACCCAGTCTGTTGGCCTGAGTTCAATCCTTCCCAACCCACTTAGTGTGGTTCATCACAATCTAGACCGGTTCATCACAATCCAGATCAGCTTTGGTCTAGTTCAGCACAGTTCATCATGGTTCAAGCCCGGTTCAGTCAGTTTTAGGCCGGTTCAGGCTCAGTTCAGTCAATTTTAGACTGGTTCAAGCCCGGGTCAATCAATTTTAGACTGGTTCAAGCCCGGTTCAGTCAGTTTTAGATAGGTTCAGGCCGATTCCGTCTGTTTTGTCTCCAGTTCAATAGTCCAGTGGATTTCTCTAGTCCGGTTCAGCAGTCCAGTGGACTCCTTTGGTTTGATTCAGCGGTTTGGTGGCCTTCTTTGGTCTGGTTCAGCGGTTCAATGGACTTCTTTGGTCCGGTTCATCGATCCAGTGGAGTTCTCCAGTCCGGTTCAGTGATCCAACAATTTTCTCTTTTTCGGTTCAGTAGTGCAGTAGGTGATTCTTGTCCAGTTCAATGATCTAGTGATTTTTTTTTCTATTTGCTGCACTTATAGAACCCAAGCAAGACACTGGGTTGGTTATTATTACACGAGAGGAGTATGCTCAGTTCCTATCCCAGCAATAGGCTATCCCATCTCCCTCCACTGTTACTTTTGCCCAGTTAGGTATTGCATCTACTTGTTTATTGTCCTCCACTTACCGTCCCTGAATCATAGACTCTAGTGCTTCTGACCACATGACTGATGCGTCTGATATTTTTTCTACTTATCAGTCTGCTACTTTCACACATAGTATTACTCTTGTTAATGGTACTTGTTCTAAAGTTTCAGGTCTGGAGACTACTCACTTGAGTCTTGATATGTCATATCTTCCGTGTTATTTGTTTCTCAGTTTCCTTTTAATTTACTTTTCATTAGTAAGATTACTCGTTCTCTCAATTGTTCTGTAACTTTTTATCTCTCTTATTGTGTCTTTTAGGATCTCAAGACGAAGAGGAAGATTGGTATGGGGCATGAAGCTTTTAGCCTATATTACTTTGATTTTGATTCGCCTACTCGGGTTCTACAGACTTCTTTGTCTCCTTTTCAATAGCATTGTCGTCTTGAACATCCCTCTCTCCAGAATCTGAAGCGTCAAGTTCCTAATTTTAGTTGTATATCGTTTTTGTCTTGTGAAATTTCACCGTGTGTCATTTCAGTCTAGAGTCAATAATCGTGTGTCTAGTCTATTTGAGTTGGTACATTCTGATGTATTTCATCTAATAAATATCTTTATTTTATGTTATTTGTGGACGACTATTCTCGTGTGACTTGATTGTTTTTGATGAAAGCTTGGTCTGAATTATTCTCTATATTGGAGACCTTTCGTAAAGAAATAAAAATTCAGTATGGTTATCGTATACGTATTGTACTTTCTGATAATGTTCGGGATTATGAATCTGATCCTTTTTCAGCGTATCTTAGTAAAACTGACATTATTCATCAGACTTCCTGTGCTTACACATCTTCACAGAACGATGTTGCTGAACGCAAGAACCGTCATTTGTTAAAAGTCACACGTGCCCTGTTATTTTAGATGAATATTTTCTGATAGTTTTGGAGTGATGTTGTTCTTACTGCTTATCACCTTATTAATCGTATGTCATACTCTGTGTTAAATGGGCAAAGTCCATATTTTGTCTTTTTTCCTGGTAAGTCCTTATTTTCTCTAACTTCTAAAATTTTTGGATGTGTCTGTTATGTTCACAATTTGGGTCCTGAGTTTGATAAACTTGACCCTCGAGCTACCAAATGTGTATTTCTTGGTTATTTTCGCACACAGAAGAGATATCGTTACTACAGTCCTTTTCTGCAACGATACTTTACTAGTGTCAATGTAACATTTGAGGAATCTATTCCATATTTTTTAACACCTTCTTAGCCTTTGGATTTGGACTTTGGGTCATCTATTATACCACTATGTCTTTCCTCATCTTCAGATATTTTGTTGTCCACTGTGTTACCATCTACTTTACATCTTCATGTATACTCTCGTTGTCCTCGACCATTTACTGAGGTGCTCGTACCATCTTCCTTGCCGCCTGCTGATCCTGGTCCATCAGGTAATTTAGACTCTTTACCTATTACTCTTCGAAAAGGTACTCGTTCGTGTGTTTACTAATCATTCCATTGCTCAGTTTGTTTCATATGATGTTTTGTCTCCTGTCTTCTCTTGTTTTACCTCTTAATTATCTACTATATCTATTCTTAAGCATTTACAGGATGTATTATCTGATCCGAGTTGGAGGAAAGTTATGGAGGATGAGATGGATGTCTTACATCATAATGGGGCTTGGGATCTTGTTCTTTTACCTCTTGGTAAACGAACTATTAGTTGTTGTTGGGTGTATACTATTAAATTTTATCCGGATGGTTCTGTGGAGCGTCTTAAAGGCCGGCTTGTTGCAAAGGGCTTTATTCAGAACTATGGTGTTGATTGTGAGGAGACTTTCTCTCCTGTTGCTAATATTTTCTTTGTTCATATCTTGATTTTTTTGGCTGTTAATCTTGATTGGTCCTTGTTTTAGTTAGACGTTAAAAATGTCTTCCTACATGGTTACTTGGTTGAAGAAGTATACATGGAGCGACCACTTAGGTTTATTGCTCAGGAGAAGTATGGTAAGAATGTATGTTGTTTAAAAAAATCTTTGTATGGTTTGAAGCAGTCACCGAGAGCATGGTTTGGTAAGTTTTCAGATGCAGTTTTAGAGTTTGGTCTTCTTCGATGTCAGACAGGCCATTCTGTGTTTCATAGATAGACGGATGCTAGATATGTTCTATTAGTAGTCTATGTAGATGATATTATAATCACTGAAAATGATTCTGAGGGAATTGTCAACTTAAAAATTTTCTTGCAGATTGATTTTATACTAAGGATTTGAAAAAATTCAAGTATTTTTTGAGAATTGAAGTGACTCGATTTAAATAGGGTATTTGTTTATCACAAAGGAAATATGTACTTGACATGCTAGAGAAAGCAGGTTTGTTGGGTGGCAGACCAATTGATGTTCCTATGGATCCAAATCAGAAACTATTGATGGATGATAGTGCACTGTTTGAGAATCCGGGTCGGTATCGCAGATTAGTTGGGAAGCTCAATTATTTCACTATTACTCGACCGAATATTTTCTATGCGATCAGTATAGTAAGTCAGTTCATGGGATGTCCTACAGTGCCACATTGGGAGACAGTTATTCGTATTCTGCGATATTTCAAACGAGCTCCTGGACTTGGACTGTTATATCGAGCTAATGGACATGGTAGAAATCGAAGATCAACCACTGGTTATTGTACTTTCTTAGGAGGTAATGTTGTCTCATGGAAAAGTAAGAAACAATCTGTGGTAGCAAGATCCAGTGCTGAGGCTGAGTATAGGGCAATGACGCATACGACGAGTGAGTTGACTTGGCTACTACACTTCCTCCAGAAAATTGGGTTTCCAGTTCAACTTCCTTTATAGTTATTCTGTGACAACCAGACAGCTATTCATATCGCTGTCAATCTGGTGTTTCACGAGAGAACCAAACATATTGAGGTTAATTGTCACTTTATTCGGGACAAGATAGTAGCTGGGAAGATTACAATTCCATTTGTAAAATCTGAAGATCAGCTTACAGACATGTTTATTAAAATATTGAGTCGTACACGTCTTACAGCGATTTGTTCCAAGCTTGGATTATATGATATATATAGTCCAGCTTGAAGGGGAGTGTTAAGAGTATTAGGGTAGTATGTGTAAATTTTTAATAGCAAGAGGGTGCATGTGTAATTCTTATTATTGTGTGTTAACTATAAATACAAGTGATGTATAAGAGTTAGGTTAAGTTTTTAACCTTTCTCTGTCTCTTTAATATTGTGTTATGTTATTTCTCTCAACTTTACAATATGAATAAATTACAATTTTATATAATAGTGGCCGTTGAATAAATTGACAATTTTTTTAATCCATTTTATTTTGTATCAACTTTGTAGTAATTTGTGTTTTATGCAGGAGTACTGTCCTTCTGTGAAAAACATTCTTCTTCTGGATTCGGAAGGGAAGCGTATAGCTGTCAAGTACTATTCTGATGACTGGGCGACGAATACTGCAAAAGAAACTTTTGAGAAATCTGTATTTACAAAGACTCAAAAGACAAATGCTCGGACAGAAGGTTCTGCGTTACTGTAAAATATTTTCTGATGGCTTCCTTTCTGTCTATTCTTGTGTTCTTCAGGCTCACATATGTTTTGAATTGCCTCTTATTCCATGCTTAATATGCATATATGTTGTGCTTTGCTGAACTCTTGTTTGCTAGTATCAACTTATGTCTGTGCTGTGTGTTTTCTTTCAGTGGTTTGACAGTTGCTTGCTGGTAACTTTATGTAAACAGAGATTTCTATTCACAACGGATAATGAAATAATCTATTGTCGGCGACTTAAAATAGGACCCTTGATGGAGCTTAATGGGAAACACTAAATTGTACATAAACTCTAGTTGGGATAATACTTTGTTGGTTGAGTTGAGTCTGCTGCCAAACTTAATTCCATTGTCCTTGTATTGACAGATATTTTTATGTTACCGGTGGGGTATTCATGGTTGTTCTTTTTAATGTTGCATTTTATTGGTACGAATGGTAACCCTGATAAGTGGTAGCAAATAGAGAGATTCATTACGTAATTTAGTAAATTAAAATAGTGAAAGGACATGAGTTTTAATAAAAATCTCTTGCCTTTATACCACCAACTGTTGGCGTATGCTTAACTGGTAGTATTCCTTTCGTCGTGAAAGGGGGAGACGTAAATAATCCCTAGAACAAATATTTTGACCATTTAGTTAGACTATGCCTCTTCCTATCAAAAAAAAAAAGGTTAGACTATGGCTCTGGCTATTTTTATGTAGCGGGCACCATATAGCGAATACTTTGTCTTATTAAAACTGCAAGAATATATAGATGATTAGATACAATACTCTGTCTCGATGTATTCCTCGTTTTGAGATGTTGAAGACATAATATCTTAATTTTACTTTCCGGAAAAAAACCATCTTTATTTTATGTTGCATTTGATGTTACCTACTTATTGTCTTGCACTTTCTAATTCATTTGCAGCGGAGATCACAATGCTTGAGAGTAACATTGTTGTGTACAAGTTCATTCAAGACCTTCACTTCTTTGTTACCGGGGGTGAAGAGGAGAATGAACTAATCTTGGCCAACGTTCTTCAGGCTTTCTTTGATGCTGTTGGTCTCCTCCTGAGGTATTTTGTAATAGATATTCTTGTCATTTACTTTTTTTCTGCATTGCAAAAGTTTGTTATTTTGACTGTCATTTTTTGGTGCTCGTGTTGCAGGGGCAATGTTGACAAAAAGGAGGCACTTGAAAATCTGGATCTCATTCTTTTATGCATTGACGAAATTGTTGATGGCGGGTATGCAACACTTCCTTTGCAATTAATTATGCAGTCGTTTTTCTCTTATGGCTTACATCTATATCTGACTAGTAGAAAAAATACATAATTCCTGTGCAGAATTATTCTTGAAACTGATGCAAATGTGATTGCCGGAAAGGTTGCAAGCCACAGCATGGATGCTGGAGCACCTTTATCTGAGCAGGTATTGTATATTTTGGTACTTCTCTGCTCCCTCCCAGTTATGAGACGCTTAAAAAAAATGAATGAATAAATAGGCAGCATCTCACAACCACGGAAAATTGAAATTATTTTTGACATCAAATACGTGCTTTAACTTATGTACTCTTGGTTCTGCAGACAATTAGTCAAGCATTGGCCACTGCACGCGAACATTTCACAAAATCCCTGCTGAGGTGACAGTTGTTGGAACGTAGCAGAACAAACTAGAACAAGGCAGACTCCTCTGAATTTGGTTTCTATTCTGATTGCTTGTTGATCGTCAGTGTGTCTTTAATTTACTCTCTGGGCTTTGAAAATCTCTGTTTTGGTCTAAGGTCGGCATCTTTTCCATTGTTTGATGAGATTATAGTTTTACTTTATACAGAAAATTGAATACAGGGTGTTTTGAGATGGGCGTTTATCAAATTGCAGCAGAAGCATCGTCGTAGGCCATGTTTATATAGCTGTTCAAGCATTTACCGGAAGCCAAAATGGAGGTGTTATTGTCGAGTATATGGACAAGCAGTTATTAGAAACATAAAGCATCAGAATCCAATCGAAGATAACTCTCAGATGTGGAAATGGTAACACAACGATTCATCTTGTAAAGAGTTTGTGTTACACATTTCCACCCACTGAATAAACAAAAATACAAAGAGACAAAAATAAGAATTAGATGATCACCTAGACAATTTCACCATTGACAATTCTTCATTCTCTCTCCATGTACAATGGATTTCCATCATGCTCTATGTTAGTTATGGACTATGGTGTCTCAAGAACTCACCCATCCTAACCCACCCCCCAGCCTCAGCCCCACGCAAGCAATGACGACAAATTCCCCCAAGAAATGTCATCCTTTTCTCCAAAAAGGGGAAGATGAAGTATCAAAAACTTTTTTTCTCTCAAGAAATTATGACGCAAAATTGACCAAATGTGATGTCAAGCGATGAGAACATAATCTGCATCATCTGGGAACCGATCACCAGCAGTCGGGGGCAAGCTATTCCGGGAAACAGGTTTATGAACCTGGGCATGAGTCTCTGCCTCGTGCTGGAACAAGTTGACTAGCTCTTGCAGCTCCAACTTCCTAACTTCGACCTGCTCTTCAGAGATGGGCTTTTTCAACCCAAGGTAGAGCAATCCAACGCCAATCAGCACGAATCCTATGAAGAAGAGGAGAGCTGAAAATAGACCAAAAGCATATGGTGTGTTCTCTGCTCCGGGAATCCCATCAAGGTTGACTCCAAACAGCCCAGCTATAATGGAAAGAACCATGCCACATCCGCCAAAGACGGCCAAATTGTGGGTGACTCGGAGGCTTTTGTCCTGAAATAGACGTAGTATAAAACTCACTTTCAAATTTAGACATACAACACCCAAAAGTTGCTTGTGCACATAAGCATACGCGTGCAAGCGCGCACACACCCACACACACACAGATTCATGCACCAAACTTTTAGGGAATACAGTGATATGCTAGAAACCCTGGCAAAATAATTCATTAGCAGGACACAGCGGTAAGCTATCTAAGCCAAAAAATTATGATATGCAGACAAGTAAGTTGGCTTAAAAGAACCAATTCAAGTAAGTTGGCTTAAAAGAACCAATGCAGCAAGCTCTTTGAATACAATATAGAGAGAATTTTTAAGTATAGTAGATTTGAAGGGATTGAGGACACATTAATACTCCTCTTTTTAGTATTACAGCAAGGTGGACAGCATCAAGTGGATTGTACCGTGGCCTCAATGTTCTAGTTTTCTGTTTTATACTTTCTGTTTTACTAATCATTAGGTTGAGACTTGTCCTCTTCTGATTGGTTCTTGTACCACTGTTTTTATATCATTTAGTAATAAAATTGTTGTTTCTTATCGAGAAAAAAAACAAAGGAGAAAGGCACATCTGAGTCACCACAGTATGCAATACCCTACTTTTGTGAAGCAATAAAAGCAAGAAGAAAAACAGCACCTACAATGACCATGTTGCCCGAAATTAAAACACTGTATGCTCAATTCACCTTTTTTTATGCAAAACGGAGTATACATCTACTGCACTGTCATTGCTGACATCTTTACTGTCTATGGGTTTGCAATTTATCACCTTATTTTTACACTGGTTCAAGGTTCAAAGATCTTGAAGATCAGAAAAGTGATGTTGGATGCTTATCTTTCAACATCAATATAGTATAAGTAGATTCTGGACAAGGAAATCGAGGAGGATCAAAGTTTCCAGAGAAAAGGTTAGGGTGTGTGAAAGGAGGTAGGGCTATTAAAGGCAAACGAGGATAATGGAATAAAGGAATTCTGGGGGCATAAGGTGGCTGCTCTTGTACTGTCGACAGTGCCTTCAACAGTTATAGGCAGTGTTTATGGATGCTGGGTAGTTCGGATTGGAACTTGGTTGAAGGTGAAGTTTGAGCTTGATTAAGTAGGGTTTTTCGGCTGGAAAGGGGAGTTTTGCAACTCTATGTGCACATAGTAAATAGTGAGAATATATTAAGAGACCAGAGGGAAGGGGGAAGCCTATAAGTCACACCTAGGTTGTTAGGTCTCACACCTCCAAGATGATGCCTCGAGCATCACAATTGATGGAATCTCTTCATTCATTCTACCAGGAACAAAACTAATATAAGGAATATGCATAAATTTAGGACGCTACACAAGAAAACCAAGAACTTGGTGGTCAGGTAACTCTTGGTAGGTAGCTAATTATGAGTAAGTTATAAACCATTATTTAGACCACTAGACCCACTAAATTTGACCCATGATAAATCAACGAGCCAACAATACAAGATGCCATCTGAACACAGCAAAAAATCAGCAAATAAACTTGGAACAAATATCATAACAAGTTATATATTAAAATCTTGTAAGCATCTTATTGGCCTGCAAATCTGATTTTCTCTTTCTGTATCACTACATGAACTTTCTGGGTAGTTTGTGCCACAAAGTGTATAGAATGAACAACTTCACTACCATAACATTCAATATTTTTACAAAGTTGAACAGTGAATTTTAGCACAAACCTGCAACCATGCACGGACACTACTCTGCATGACGTCTTGAATGGTGAATAAGCGATCACGATTTGCTTCTTGCTCCTCAATCATTTCTCTTGTACTCTTTCTTATATCCTGTAGCAAGCTTTTAGTTGCATCCCCTTTCAAATGTTGGAGAAGTTCAAAAACAATCTCCTCCCTCGCATGGAGTGACCATTTGACTCTGATAACCTACAATGGGCAATGATTATAGGAATGGAAATGCCAGGTATAAATTATGATGCAAGCTCTATGACTTAGCACCAAAGTAATTTCAAAAGTGAGAGATAACTGGCAATGTCAAGAATAAAATATAAAATATTAGAATGCACGTTAATAAGTTATGAAAACGCCAATTCATTCATTCAAACTCACAGCAATATGTGCTGGCCAAGAAGAAAAACAAAGCTGAGCCTCTTGGGGTTATGTATTATTAAGTCTGCAGCATGTTCGAACTTATGAATGCATAATAGCTTTAAATGATATAAGTTTCCTGATTTTTTTAGTTTCAATATGTCCCTTATTTTTTATTAAGTTATGTAAATAAGACTGTGGGTCGATCAAATGAGTTATCCTTATTAGTTGACATGTATACAAGAATGGTAGGAGTGGGTTAGTGCACAAATACGTATTATTACGTGTGAGGCAGAATGTGATATAATAGCACAAACACTTGTTTCATCCAAGAGAAACTCAAAAGGATGTACGATGTACCATAAATGTAGCTAAATTTGGACTCGAACAATATTTAAAATGCAAAATGTTTGCCAAGAACTTCTTGAGTGAAGTTTTGTATTATCAGTTGAAGGAGAAAATATTTTATCAACCTCAGATACCCAACTAGGAATCTAGGACATGTTTAAAATGATCCCACCAGCTTGCAAAGTGATTACCACCCTAGTGAGATTTAACTTTGGCCCCCAAAAGAAAACTATTCTTTCGGCCAACTATACTCTCATATAATTAAATCTCTACTTTGTTCTTGGGAATATGAATATAATAAAATTACTATTGCATGGATGATAGCTAATACTGCAGCAAAGATTCATGAAAATGACAACAGCAAGCTTAAAAACAGCCATGGGCTACCAACTTATCCAACTTGCTGAGATGTTTCTGAAACCCTAAGTTTCCACGGATTCAATATTCCTCAAAAAATAGTTCATGAGGGGTTAACAGCCAGCTAAGTAATGCTTTTCCTTGTCGCTTAAGTTTCTTTTTGCTACTTATTCGTGCACCAAAGAAGTTAATCAATAGGTAAGTGTTTAAACATCTCAATAAGTTAACAACTAGCCTTTTATAATCTGCTGAAGAGAGTTCGTGGTTTTCGCCCCAACCCTTACTTTTGCCTTTGAAAAAGATCATAACTTACTTGACATAATTTAGCAAAGCTTTGTCCAATACAACATTGATCTAGGTCATAAGTGCATCAACTGAAAGTCACAAAGAATAAAGGTGATGTTAGGCCTACTATAAGACATAAAAGTTTGCATTGCTGGTCACATCTCACTTGCTGCTTCAGTTCTAAAGTATGCAATTCTGGTTGTCCATTGATGATGGTGTTCAGAGGTGGAATTTAATCTTCATTTGAGCCTGAAGTATATTACCTGTCTTGATAATCTTCTGATTTCTTGGTTCAGAATAACACTCAAGAGATTCAAATCTTCTTGGCTTCTCCTACACAAATGAATATATGGTGATTACAAATATAGCAGGTTTGGGGAGAAAACAAAAAAGGAAAAGCATTCATTCCAAAAGAATTAGTTTGATGCATACCTGTTCATAAACTTCAACTCCACTGCATCAGCTGCCCCAAATATAGATTTTCGAAATAGTCTTAGAGTACAAAAGCATGAGGCAAAAACAATTTTCAGAATCCTCTTGAAGGATAAAACTATTTGACGATGAATAATGTTAATGATAGGTTTGTAATGTGCAATTCATGTCTCACTGTAACCCATGAGAATGTTATAGTGTTAAAAACCTATGAAGCACGGATACTTTGTCAAGGTAGCCGTACTCACATCGGATACCCTATTGGATATGATATTCATCGGATACTCAAAGATACGTATGGATACGCATCATACATATCCTATAATTAATAAAATATTTGGATACTTCGCGAATAATTCTAAAAATGGAGTAAGATGTACAATTTTTAATTTTAATCTATACCCTCTTCTTTCAAGTTCACATATAATACAAAACATTAATAAAATTTCATTTGATTTTTAAAAATACTAGTGTTTTTGAAGTATTATATACTATTACATGTCAAAAGAATATAAAAAAATAATTAGTCAAACTATTATCTTAAAAATAAATACTTGTAAACAAACCAACTAATTAATGTGATTCTGATTTCTTTAATTGGTCATGCTTATTTTATGGATATATCATAATGAGATGACATTATATTTTTTTAATGTAAAAGTTCCTAGTTTTGCTTGCTATTGTTAAGGAATTATTGAAAATTAAAATTTTAAGTCGTTAGAAAATAGTAAAATATAAAATATATTAAAATTTTATTATAGACGTATCTTGACCATACTCATATTCTATTTTTTTAAGTTTTATTATATCGCCATATTCATATTGTACCGTATCGTATCCCTATCTGTGCTTTCTAGTTGCCAACTCTTGGCCACACATAACATTCTTTAGTACAAAACACAAAAACACAGATTTACATAGGTTAGAGCAGCGAAAGACGAAAATATCGCCCTCACCTATCATCCCATCGAGCAAGGCGGCTAGCCAGATGTGCTATGACTTCATGTATTGTCTTTGGTGTATTATACCCACCACCAGAAAGAAGTTCCTGGACCAGGCAGAACACCAATAACTACTAATTATTACTCAAACAAAAGAAAACAGCAAAATCTGTAAACATAGAAGGCATCATGAATACTTCTTGATTGATAATTATTTCCCAACTTTTTGCAGTAAGAACAAACCTGAATTTCTGTGATGCCCAGCACATTGACACATGATGCAGATCCTTTAATGTGCAACACAGATATTAGGAAGTTTTGAGCTTGCCAAGAACGAAGCACAATGGGAATGTCATCTTCGTCAACAAATGGATCACCAGCTGATTGACCCAAAAGCTCAAACAATAGCCCTCCAGCAACCCTAACTGGGACCTGTATAAGGTAAGAATCAGAAGCATCACATCAAACAACACCTGTCATGAACCTTTGTCGCTTAAAATACTTGTGTAATTATCTTCAATGGTCTTAAAGGACTATATATGGTGCCAGACATAAATCACAGGCCCACCAATTACTGAGGAGAAACAGTAAGCAACTAGTAAGTAATCGATCGGATACTCATTGTCGCATAGATCTAAGATAGAACCACTAACCTAAACAGATCACTTAAAAGCAAATTACTATCGAAGCAAACAACTACGGAGCTTTTGGCGATTCGGCCAAAATACCATGTTTGTGTAACTTGTGGCTTGGTCTTTCTGTCAGTAGAAAGTAAAATCAAAGCAAAATGAAGGTTCATTTGGCTTCCAGAAGTGATCTCATACCATCTGTGGTAAAACCAAACATTAACCAGTGAACAATAACACGTACATGAATGGAGGCCCTCACCCACGCAGCCCAAACATACACACCCCGACTCCCCCTTCCCCACAAAGAAGGACGTTCTGATACAAGAACGCAGCATCATTCCGCTGCTTGGTGTCCAAAGATCATATATGGAATATTCAAACTTCAAAATGCTACGTAATAAAGTTTACCAAGAAATAGTACCAGAAGAAGTTTACTTAAGAAGTAACCTGAAGTTCTACAATATAGTTGGGGCTCATAAACTCCTAAAGAGAGGCATCCTCTGAAAGCCCCAACTTACCAAAACGCAATTTGGAGAAACCAGAAGAAAATGTGAGAAGATTGCCTACTCATAAGAATTATCGGTTCAACAAAGATGTAAGCTGAAATTTGATATTAAATATTACAGCATCTCAACCACTTAGAGAGAGGTACGCCTCTAAAGCCCCAGCTCACAAACAATAATAAATTTCATACATCCCCATAATCCATTAACCAGCTGGTCCAGACAAAAGGGATTGCTTGGAGGGTGGACTGGATACGGGCCTAAGGCCTGGTTATACATGCACATTGTAACTATTTTCACCTTCAAATAATGTAATTACATTCATGCACTGGCTGAGAGGATTTAGTTGAAAACTTCCAACCAAGCTATCCTCTTGATACCATAATAGAAAATCCCTGGGCCAAACCTAAAAACAAATATATAACATCCTTTTAATCTTTAAATATGAAAAATCGATTCAGATATTCTGATCACATTAGTTAATCTCCTCAAGAACAATATACTTGTCATTTTTCCAAGTGAAGCACTAACCTCATGCATACATGAAGTTTTCATGCAAAGGATAATAGGAAGAGAGGATCTGCCAAAAAAAATAACTATAAAGAAACTAAAGCTCATGGAAACAGAGGGGAAGAGTATTGTGAGAGAGCCTATACATTATTAGAAAATATTTTTGGCTTTGTTCTTTTCAGATGACAGGACCAGTCTGTTAGACAACAAAAAAAACTGTAACTAATGAATCTTATGACGGACAAAAAAACAATGCATAAAAATAAGACTTGAGAAACTAAAAGTACAGATAAACAAATAAATAAATACCATCTCAGCTGTTGACATTTTTTATCTTAAAAAAAATTAAAGCCTTTCCTTAAATATCGGAACTCAGAAAAAAAAATGTTTTTTCTCTTTCTGATAGCTTCTCCCCAATTTTTCATCAATGTATCACGGTTATGTAAATTATACCCTTTAAAAGATGATCTTTAATAAAACATAATTCTATTTTTCAACTTAAACCCACTGGATTTGCAAGACATTTTTGCCTTTTTGCAATATTTCCCAGGAGGTCTCCATTAGTTATACACTTATACTGAGAAATCATTTACAGTTTATGGTTTCAGAGATTATTTTGCATCTGATGTTATGTTATCTTCACAGCCCTAAATATAGATTATTTGATCATTCATCAAACACATTTAACCAGTCAAGCAAGAAGGTACATATGCTAAGCAGACAATATACCTCATATAGGAGGTATTTCATCCGCTCACTAATTAAGCAACTTTCATCCCTTAGAGCAACACTAACAGCCGGATGCAGCCACTGAGCATTTCTGAGCCAAGCATCAATGAATGGGTGACCTGCAGCCACATGACACCACCACACAGGCCCAGCTGGTCGCTCCCAGTAAGGAGCTGCTACATCTGCAACAGTAAGGTCATCTTCATCATCCATGAAGTCAAATCGCTGTGAGGCCCACCCAGAATCAACTTGCACTGTTTGCACTAGCTCATGAATCCTTGCCCATCCAATTGGAATCCAATGACTCCCTTCAAATCTATCCATAGTATGAAAATGGTCACATTGAGAGGCGTGGCTATCTATGATATCATCAGGAGGAGTAATGCGATGATTGCCCAGTTCTGTAACAGGTGAGGATTCCAATACACCGTCCCTATTTTTTAATTTAAAAACAGAAGCCTCAGTCACTCCAGGGGTAGGAACTTGCTTCTTTGTATGCCCACCATCATATTGAAGAGAAGACTGGATTTCTGAATAAGGTTTTGTCCTAATAGATTTCCTATGGCCTCGAACAAATTCAAAAGCACAAATAAGTCCATCTGTCCAAAGCTCACTCCCGGGCATGACATCCTTACTGTAATTACTTTTATGGTTTTCTGGATTCTTCATTATGTGATCCTGTGGAGTGGAGCAGTCCTCAACCGTACCACTTGGTTGCATATAGCACAGAGGAGAAGTATAATCAATGAAAGCTAGAATATAGCACAGACGAGAAGTATAATAATATAATCGACAAAGAGCCTACAGGATGCCAATGTTCAGCTCACTGAGGCTAGTCATCAAGAAGCTTATGTTAGGAAACAGCTAGACATAGAGTTTGGCATCATGGCCTGTGCTAGAAATTGCAGTGAGTTGCATTCAGGTCTTCCCAGTATCATCCTGCAGTGTCCATGTAGAACAACATTAAGAAAATAAGCAAAACACAAACATAATATTGCTCCTCAAACATTGTACTGCTTCATGTAATGGAGAAAGTTTAAATTTCTACACCAACAGATAAATTCATTAGATTTCTGTGACTTAAAGCTTCGATAACACGTGCCATGTCAACTTAATGAATTACCGGGAAACTGCTTCCAAACAGCCTACCACTTGTTATATTTGGCAACTCCCTTATGACTTGACGCGAAGTGGGCTTACACTAAATAAGCTCCAAGTCAATAAAGTATCTTATCTCCCATAGAGGGAAAAAAAAAACTGTGACGTGGTAGTGTTCTAAGTGGCAACCCAGAAAAATCCAGTTAGAAAGACCTTAAGGACAATTAAACCAAAGCCCAAGATGTTCCCAAACGATTTCTAGCTTATGCAATTAAATCATCAACTCAACTCCCAAAATTTTTATTGTTTCCTCAGATCTAATGGTCTATTTAGTTCTAAATAATGTCCCCACTCTAATAAGACCCCAAATTATCAAAAGAACATTTTATATAAACTATGATATCTATATCACCTTACATGTTTGTACAAGGATATTTACCAAAGGGTAATGTTACAATGCCGTGTCGAAAAATGATCTAGACCGTTGATTTTGAAGTGAATGATGTCCAATCATTGATAAAGTAATAAAATATATATATATATATACAGCATATTTCTATTGGTCACAAAGTGGAGCTACCGAAAGTTCATTTCAGTACCGTAACACTCCTCTTTACCGAAACAATGTAACAGCTAATGATGCTGCAGCTCAAAAGTCACTTGAAATGTAATACATAATTCATCAAGCGATTATGGAATTGAAACTTACTTCATATTGTCTCGATCAAAACAGAACCTTAATACTTCCGGACAGTAACAGAACCTTAATTCTTCGAGAAACAAGATTCTCAACAGTCATTCAGAAACAAAACCTTAAACCAGTAAAAAAAAAAAACTAAATTCAAATTATCCTCACTATACATATGCACCTACTTTGCAAGTTTAGAAAGTAAAAAAATACAAAGAAAGAAATGAGTAAATGTAACATCCAGAAAGCGAATCTAGAGCTTCATTAACAAGTAAACCATAAGAAAACTGAGCTAATTTAACATTCTACATTTGAAAGCAAATGCGAGAAAATTACGTATGCAGGAAATCTATTACTGATATCGAAGATAGGAATTAAATGGTGGAGTTTTCTCGGGAGCCAAACAGTGAACTGAGAGAAAGAGATTACCAGCGTATAGGACTCGTTAATGATAGTGATGATGCTCTGGAGAGACGTTTTAATCGGACAGGATCGGGGGAAGTACCAACAAGACAAATACTTATAGTGTGTGTGTGTGTGTGAGAGAGAGAGAGAGAGAGAGAGTTGGGGAGTGAAGTTATGGGGCTTATCGCACTTTGTACAGCAAAAGATATTTCGATTTTTATTTTATGCCATTCACACTACACTAAGAATATCGTAAATTGATTCTAATGTGGTCTTTAGACTAACACCTATTTCAAATTTTGTTAAAATTTGATGCACATGTCATTCACGTGTGTTAGACAAAAATATAAATTCATTATTCATATTTTTGAGTGATATGTGCATCAATTTTTAATGAAATTTGAATCGAATATTAGTCCAAAGAGGGTTACATGGAAACTAATTTATAACATTCAGAACGTAAAATTAAAAAAAAAAATTTTTTTGAGGTATAAAATGAAAATTAAGATACCTATCAGACGCGAAAATCCGGATATTCTATTCATTTTTTTAGGATTAATTATAAATTGCCCAATTCAAGTTTGAGGTTTGTTTCAATCAAATCCATTTGATTTCAATTTCAATAATTTACCCTCGTCAAATTCAAATGTTTTAATTTAACGGAGGAATTAAACATAAAATTTTAAAATTACCCTTGTGCCCTTTACCTTTTTTTGTTTTGTGTTATCAGCTTTTATAACATTTTTGTTGACACGTCCCCATTTTCTCTCCCCTCTATACCCAACCCGCCTTGTAACTCCATCACCACCACCACCACCACCAGCCCCAACCTTTCTACCACCACATCCTTTACGAAAATCACCACCAACTGGAAGGAAAGGGTAAGAGAATGGGGAATTAGGATTGGACGTCGGGAAGAGAGAAGGTATGTCATTGGGTAAGGACTAGGGAGGGATTTTTTTTTTTTATCAATTTTTTAGATTTTACGGAAATAGAATAATGTTGACCCAAAATAAAAAACTTGAGAAGACATGGCTAATTTTGAAACAAAGGGAATCGATTGTAGAGTGGTCCATCAACGGGTCTTTGGTCTAATGTTAGTCTTTATCTTATGAAAATTTTGTCTTATTGAGGTCAATAATTCAAGTCAAAGGCGAAGCCAGAAAATTGTATCAGGGTGGACACAAATATTTCAATAAATTATTATTTATTTTTTTTACAATTGAAATAAATAGGACAATAATTTATTTAATTATATCATATTTAATACTTAAAAATTCATTAAACTCACCATACCGAAATTTGGTAAGCTTAGTATATACAAACGATAACATTTTTTTTTACAAAATATTAACTAATTAAAATCATTTAGAATTGACTTGGGTAAATTTTTGTACTTTTAAAACGTTGCATAACAACTTTATTATTTTTTAGATACATAATCATATTATTAATTTGGTATTTATAAATCATTTGATCGATTTATGCAGTTTAATGTGCACTATATAATTTTTATCATAATTAATAAAAATAAATGTCAAAATCACAAATAAACTAGCGAATATATATATATCATGTCTTTTTTAGTCTTAAAAAATAAAATAATTCTAGCATATTCATAATTTATCTAGATAGGTACATAATCAGCCAAAAAGTGTCAACAAAATTCATATTCATTTGATATAAATATACACTAATTGATATGCCAAAAAAATTGGGAGGACATAATTGAAATTATTCATTTGATATAAGTGTATATTAATATTTTTGTCTTTGATTTTGGGTGAGCACAAATAATATATTATATAATATATACAATATACATACCTAAGTAATAAAAAAAAAAATTAAGGTGGGATATTTGCCCACCTGGAACAGGCTGCCTCCACCCTTGGTTCAAGTCTTGCTTCCCTCTCTCCCTCCCCCCCCCCCCCCCCAAAAAAAAAAAAAAAGGATTGTAGGGTGATCCAATCTTGAAGGAAACAATTTATAATTAACTCTTTTTATATATATATATATATCACCTCTTTAAAATTAAGTGAGTCTCATTTATACGAGTAGCATTCAAGAAAATAAATTAATATATGTATTGAAGAGGATATGAATTCGAGAATCGATTTTTAAATTTTTATAATTTTTTAGGGAGTGAGATATTCTCTAATAGTTTTTATCTTTTCGTTCTCTTTTTGGTGGATCACATACTATTCATTCAAGTAGAACCTATTGTATATAAGTAAACCCCATATTTTCAACACCAATGTTATATTTAGCACCTTTATACACTACATTTGTGCACACTATATGTGTACACCACCTCAAAATACACTATTAAAATAGTGTGTCTGATTGCGTTTATTAAATAATGGCAATAACCTCGTGTCTAATAATACTCAGCATACAATAATTATAAGAGAGATGGGAGAAAAAAGAGAGAGTTAGGTGATGATTAATGAGATTGTCTGACATTGAAAAGTGTATTGATTGAATTATCTATTACTCTCTCCACTCTTAAATATCTGTTGTTTAAGATTTTTGTACAGGAATTAAGAAAGTTATTAAATAACTGTAATATGAGTAAAAAATAATTACACAAGACTAAAATACCCTTATTCAATATGTATTGGGAAGGAAAATAATATGAAAGACACTTAGCCCCACCTAATCTAATGCATTAAAAAGTTAAGGGTAAATTTGAAAGAAAAAATATTAATTATGCTTTGTTTCATAAAACGACAGATATTATAAAAAAAAATTTATGTAAAATGACAGATATTTAGGAACAGAAAAAGTATTAGAGGTCGTGAATAAAAGATGTCATTGTTGAGGAGTGAAAATAATTCTGAATAAATTTTGTACTATTGAACTAAAAAAATCTGCCACACAATTTGCCTCTCTAAATACCTTTCTGAGGTCACCGCCTACAGCCCCAAACGAATGAAAAATTTAAGGCCCCTATTTTAACTAGGCTAGGCTAGACAATTTTAGGAGTTGACTACGGTATGGAAAAAAAAAATTGGTAATATACCTTTATTTACCATTTTTGTGGTTATGTTTATTTTATTTTTGAGTGTTTTTACTATTGTTGTATAAAAATAATTTTCACAACAGTAGTAAAAAATTTACAAATATGATAAAAATATTCAAAAATGTGCTAAATCTTCCATAAAAGTGATAATTTTTTTATACCAAATAAAAGTGGTAAAAATATTCATAAAATAATATTTTTTTTTTATAAAATGACCCATAAAAGTTGTAAAAACACTGTTTAAAATTGTAATTTTTGGAGGTATGATACCTAATTTTTTTTGGAGGTACCATAATAAAATCCAAATTTTAACTACAAAATGATAATGCAATAAAAAATCGATACAAAATTACTGAGTTTGACTATAATTTTTGTACATTTATATAATAAAAACAAGTAAATTTATTAAATCCTTCAAATAAATGGGTCGATAATTTCTAATAATAGGTCAGCACAGAGTAAAACACAATGCAATGGAATGAACGTGAGTGTAATTAGGTTCGAGTATATCACTTTTATTGATATTAAATTTATATGATTAATTAATATTAGGATTTTTTAACCGGTGCCTATAAATAAGCAATAACCTTATTGGAATTCTCAATTAGTAGTAGTTAAAATGGGGGCTCTCACATGCCCGTTTATTGAACCATGTCAATCTTTTCTTCTTTATTTTTTATTATTTTTCTTCCTTAATTGTTCCCCACACATAACTTCAAAACACATTAAATAGAAGGGTTTTTTTGGCCGTTGCTAAATTTTTTTTAAACTTATGTAAATAAGTGAATGATTGATTGAGTTAGTGTTATAATTTCGTATAACTAGTTATTGTCTGTGCCTGAAGGCACAAAATAATAAAAAATGATAGATAATAAACATATTTACATTCATATTCAAAATCAAATCACAAACACAAAAAAGAGATAAAAGAATTTAAGTATTGATTTGTAGTGGGTGTGAGAGTTGGTGGGCAATAACGGTGGTGGTAGGAGACGGTGATGGTTGTGGTGGGTGGCAATGACCGTGGTGACGGTAAAGGCGACGACAATGGCTATAGCAACGGTGATGGTGGCGGTGGTGATAGTGGTGGTGGCGATGGCAATGGTAGTGACAGTGGGGGTGGGGGTGGTGGTGGTGGTGGTGATGGTGGCGGCGGTGAGGCGGTTTCAAGCACTATTTTAAAAAATATATATTTATGAGAAATAATTTTAAAAAATCACACCAAACACACTCTTAGGGGACCTATTTTTTCTATTAAATTTAGAATGTTAATATTAACCGTCAGATTAATTTTAAAGTAAAATTTAAAGCGATCTCAATCGCGAATAGCAAAAATTATTTTTGTTTATCTTTTGAGATTTGAATTGTAAGCTACTTTATTATACAGATTGTTTAGTGTAACTGTTTGATTTATTAGAACATATGAGTAACTGTTTAGTATATTATACAATAATTATAATTAATTAGTATAACTGATTAGTGTACTTATGTTATTGTAACGTTAATATAAAGGAAGAGAATAAGGAAATAAAGAGAGACGAAGTGAGACAGAGAGAAAAAATAGGAGATAGAGATGAAAAAATTTAAATAAAATCTTTACATGTTTAAAAAAATAAATTACCAATATGAGAGAGAAATAATTAGAGAGAAAATAAGAAAGAGAGAGTGAGAGAGTAATGAAGAGAGAGAGGAGAGAGAGCGAGAGTAATAGAATAATAAATGACATTTTAGTCTTTTTTTCAAAAAAATACACTTATGGCCAAAAAAAATTTTGCAATATAGTTTAGTTCAAATAAGTCTAAATTTTTGTACCGAATTGCAACATCTAGGTCTAACCCAAATTAAGCAAAAACAGTCACTTCACGATATTGTGTCAATTTCAATTTTGAACTATTGCAAACTTATTTCATAGCTTTTAACTGAGCAATCGACCCGACCCGACCGACAAATAAGTTAACATTAATAGTAGGTTTAATTCCGCAATAAAAAATAGGCTAGTATGTCTCTAGCTTGTGTTTTACTGACGGGTAAGGTGGTTAAACTACATGCGTATGCCTACTCTCATTGCTTAGCCACTCTTTCTAAGAGGCGGGAATGTAAATAGATCCTCGCTTCACTCTTCTTGGGAGTTATCTTCTTGACTACACGCTCCTCAACTTTATCACCTATATACTCAACCTGAGCAATCTCTTATAGCTCAGCAGTCTCCATATCTACATTTTTGTCTCTTTCTTGTTGAAGGTCCTCTAGAATTGCAAAACGAATCGTCATTCCACTAGCACTACTAGGGTCCACCCCCCCCCCCCCCCTCTTTCTCCCTCTTCTTTTTTTCCCCAAGACCTTGTCAGCTTGATATTTTTGCAAATATTGACCCTTAAATGAGAAACGGCTAAAATCAATTAGTAACAAATAATACCAAATGTTATCGAATGGGGAATATTGAAAACGGCTAAAAAGCAAACGAATTTCAGCAAAAATGGGGACAATACAATTTGCAACAACTGGACAAGAAATGGTAACTTTAGCATTAATTTCACAGTAACATCAAAATTACAAAGGACTTGCGAACACAGCTTCTCATTACAAGGTGAAAAAAGGTAAACGTGGAAAACTAAGCAGCGAAAAAAAATACGCATAAATACCAATGTTCACTAATCCAAATTAATTAGCACGAGCGTTCCTACCTTACATTAGCCAACAATAAACACATAAAATACCCGATACAGGGCAGCAGCCAGTCAAGTACTCTTGGGAACATCATGGATTTAGATTATTCAACTGCGAGAGTACCTTGGTTGGCCACTTTCGAACTCATCACAAGACTCAGAAAAACCAGGGTGTCATTAGTAGCTGTTTTGCCATATCTGTTGGGATTGCTTAGGTTGGCCCTGAGAACCACTGAAGGACCCATCTCTAGGGTTTTGCTGCTGGTGTTCCAGTGAGATTCCAGGCTGAGAATGGTAGAAATTGGTGTAGCCGAGACTTCCATAATTCTGTGAAGGTTGCTGACCCTGCCGAAATCCACCAGGCTGCTGACTCTGCCCCTGGAAACCGTAATAGGTGCTGGCTGGAACAGCTGACATTGTTCTGGAACCAGGCCCATGTAGCCACATAGGGGAGTTTTCATTCTAACCAAATGACACAAAAGAAAGGACATGAGCTGCAGAAGAAGAATAAAAAGACTTCAAATGTTAAACAATTTCTTATGGTTTTTTTTTTTTTTTTTGTTGGGCCTGGGAAAAAGGGTGTGCTGCCAAAACTTTTTCCAACAATACGAAATGACAGGCAAATGACCATACTTCTGACGATAAAAGCAGCACAGAAATGAATTAGGGACACACAAAGTGACCCAACACAGACGCTGCAACCAGAAAATTCTTTAAAATGTGGGACACATACATAACCCAGTCATGACAGCAAATACACATCCTTTTAGAAATGTAATGTATATGTGTCCCTGAATTTACAATACCGAATATCTGTTGAGCAACAAAAAAACTCCATGTTGTATAGATGAGACATACCAAAAATACATAATTACGATGCTTCCAATCGTTTTCTCGTGCCCTGTCCTATTTAAAATTACTCAAAGTCTTAACAATTATATTTTTTTCATTACCAGAACAGAATATCCTGATCTCGTAGTTTTATTAATCACAAGATGCTGAGTATTAAATATCAGATCAAATGCATGCTCGAAGTTGATATTTCATTTCTCATTATGAACAGGGTCAAGCATATGCCCAAGACATATCGGCATGTGTCTGCCTCAGGGACGGACCTTTTCAAAGTGTCCGACCATTTCAGCAATTATTATCAACACAGTTCGGGATGACATACCTGCTGAAGAGACATCAAATTAGTGTTGTCCTTGTACTGAGAACTCATAACATCATCATAGCCTATGGTCGTGCCTGCAGGGGCCGCAGGTGGATTAATTGGAAAGCTTCCAGGGATGGTGTTTGAACTCCCAAAGCCACCATACCCAGATGCAATAGCAGCAGACTGGGGCAAGCTGCTGACAGAAACACTGCTTTTATATTGAGGGAGCACTGCTGCCAAAGATTGATGGTACGTGCTGTTACCAGCAAATGCTTGCTGGAATGCGGATGGCATATATGCATAGCTCTGAGGCAGAAAAGGGTATCCAATCATATTTGCAAAAGGTCCCAAAGGAAGAGTAGGTTGGGAATATGGGTGCACACCAAGTTGCTGAGGAAAGGCGGGTCCTGTAGCAATGCTGGTTCCAGACACAGTCTGTGGAGTAGGCTGTGTTGATGAAAAACCAACCATCTTCAAAGCCTGTATACAAAAAATAAAATATTCAGAAAAAATAAACAAGAAAGAGGAGAAAATTTAGGGTCCACAATCCTCGCATCAAAAAAGTGCTATGCTCATGCATATACTAGGGTCTAGAAGTTAAACTCCACCAACTCACGAATCAGAGTATCAAGTCCACAAATACCATTCTCAGCACATGATTTCCTAATATAACAGTTCTATTCATGTAGTCACTGTTCAAATATGGAGTTGCAAGTCCTACAAAAATGGAATTTCCATACTTCTCCAAATAGAACATATTCATGACAAAAAATCAATGGATTAAGTCCTAAAAGCTATCCTACAAATGCAAATAACTAGACTAATTTGAAATGTTAATGAAAACAAAAATAACCAGGTGTCATGCCTTGGAGAACAGAATGCAATTCCTTAATGCTCATGCCATATTCGGATGAGCAGACACACTATTCACATCAATCTCTTGACTGGGCTTCATCTGCATGCTGTCAAAAAATAGATCCTTGGTAAAACCTCGGGGAAACTCATGGCCTCACAAAACAGCTGTTGGCTCCTTGCCAACCAAAGGCAGTCAAAGCCATGAACAACTTAGGTGATGTATTATAGAACTTTGTGAAGAAAAAGGTGACAAGTTATAATGCATAAGTAAATGATTGCTGCTAGCCTATTGGTGTTAGAACTTGCTTACATCCGATGAAAACAAAAAATGAGGAAGACATGGATAGTATTTTTCATATCAGCAAAAGCATAGACCTGTGGCAACCAAAGATTGTCTCAACACAGGAAGGCACGAGCTTGTAAGTGTCCATAAGCTTGAAGCTTACAGGGGCAGCGAGCCCCATAAGACTATTTAGAATCACGTCAAACGTAGATAGGGAAGTCTGAGTCGAAGGGTTAGTAGTAGGATATCGGATAATTAACTTGTAAGAAAGATAATCGCAATGGAGGTCTGTTGTTTTGCTATAACTAGAGTCTGGAGCTACTGGGAAGAATGTATCAAAACATGTAACGGCAGGTTATTGGGTTACAGGGCTGGGAAACCCTCCGCTATTGCTCCAAGCCTGAACAATTTAAAGAAAGTTTCAGTTGTGGACGATTGTATTATAATGTATCAGCTTACTTGTTATTAAACAATTTGTCAGCCTTCAAAATGGGGAAGAAGGAGAATGCAGCAGAACTCAAAAGTTCAAGGATGAGGGACAGAAATGGCACGAAAAGTAGTAAAACAGTAAAATTAATCACCGAGTTTAAACAGTGGCTCGAGGAAACTCAGAAGGCTTAAATAACTATAAACATTATCCTAGACCAATCTTCCACGAGCCATATACAGAAGCAGAAGTAAATTACTTAAATACAATTATGTAAATGAAGAGGGTTTTTAAGAGCCGCCCAAGCAACAACTACCTGTCAACTGAAGGAAGAAAACCTAAGGAGACAGCCAACCACATTTTGAAATTATATGCAAGACAATCATGAAATGTGCATTCATCTACTAGCTTTTGGTTTTCCAGGATTTGATAGTTCAAGAGATTTCTCAGGGTATGTTAAGTGCACTTGTGGCCTCTATTTTACCCATCTAAAATCTGGAGGGACAAGAATTGCCAAAATTTTCATTGAACATTTCCACTTGTCCCAATTCAATCTCCAACGGCCGAAAAGATGTGATCAATATCTCTCATCGAAGATCATAAATTTAACTGACGTCATGCTCTTCCGCAACACCCAAGAAAACCAAAAAAATGCTGATTTTCTGTTTTAGGGCTGTTTTGAGTGTCTAGGGATGTATGTGAGAACCTCGTAAATGACTTTTGATTACCCAAGGGTTATTTCTGTAATTATGAAATTTGCAATATTTAGTGGAGGCTATAGATAGGCCTTGAAGATACAACACAAAAAAAAAAAAAAAAAACTTCCAAGAAGTAAGTTTAGTAGTTTGGCATAGCAAGTTGGCTCCACATTTCTCTCCCTCTCTATCCATCTTCCCTTATCTAGTCTCTTTATCTCTCTATTCTCCTGAATCTCCTTCTCCTTGGTTCTCTTTGAAGGAACCCTTTTTCTCAGATTCAAGGGCCCCTAATGAGTCCCAGGGTTTTCTCTCTCCCAGGAGTTCCCACCCCTCTTTCCCATTCTTCTCTCCCTTCTTGTGGAATCAAAAAGGAAATCTCCTTCTCTACTTTTCGTCATTCTAAGCTCTAGGTTGTTCCTTCTTCCTTCATCCTATTTCTTTTCTTTCATTCTCATTTATTATCAAATGCCCCAAGTTTCCAAATGTATAGCAGTTCAGTTTGCATAACAGATGTTAACAAAAGTTCATAAGGTCCAGAATGCACAAAGGACATCACTTGGTCCCAAGATGTTTAATGAAGGGCTTGAATGAGATTTCGCTTAGATTTATCATTCCTATCGAATTTCAGATGAAAATTCATGAGCTCCCAAGTTACATGAATTCTGCTTCTTGATTCCTCCCAACCAGATGCAATCCTCTTCATTGTGATTCGATGGCCTCAGTTAATGGGGCCCTAGAAAAGCTTAAAATTTGGCAGCACCAAGATCTGAGAAGGCACAGGGAGAGCAATGTCTTCTCATTATCCAAAATTTGGCAAGGCAATTAAGACAGATAAGCACCCTCAAACACAGGCCCAAAGGAAGCTAGTAACAATGGCGTTAGGATTACATTGAGGACAGTCCAGCTCCAGGGTCTAAACTTCTAGCAAACTCCATCAAAACTTTGACAATGTAGAGCTATTGCGTGCCAATTCCGAAGTTTACACTCTCAATGAAACAGGAACTTAAACTTAGGAAAACTTGAAAGAATTATATGCAGCTCCATCAGCCATAGCCACTACTATGTGTTTTTGTGATCTTAATTGTCTTATCTTACTTTGTTTCTTTCCTTAGCTTTATCCTCTGTGCTCTGCCTTCCCTTAATCAAGTCTTGTTTCCCATTCACTTAAGAATTTAATAGTGTAAGATGCAAGGAAAAAAGACAAGAAAGAAGAGAACAAGAAATGTCTGCAATTGTGCAAAGTAAGAATCAAAGATTGCACCAATGCTGGAAGTTTGTTTAAACTTTAAAGTAAAGGTATTAATCGACATGAGATGAAGACATCAGCCTCAGCTGTGAGAAAAGGAATCGGGGCATGTCTTATACAATATATGATTTTAGGCTGGGCTAAAGGGCCACGCAGTTACATAAACTAACCGACTAAACGATTTGGTGGAAAATGTTAAGTACAGGTAATTCCTACATCGCAGGGTAGGGATGTTTCAGATTTTTTTTATGCAATAACATGTATGATTGGTCTTTTATTGTCACTAATTTATACCAAAACAAACCAACCACGTTTCTTCTCCATCTTCAACTAGGAAATAAAAAATTGGATTGTCTAGATTTGCACATGAGCTAATCCAACTATCAGAGACTTCAAATTTACAGTAAAAATTCCAGCAACTTGATTCAGGTGAGGTACCTCTGGACCAGCAATAGTTGAACTGCCAATGGAAGACACAGTGTTTCCATATTTTGTAGCTGTTGATTGTGTGATAGGAAAAGGTGAGTAAGAAAGATCAGAATCTCTCACAGACTGAACATTTGCTGCCAACAAAGCACTTGGTAACGAATTGGTGTATTCTGGCTGTTACAAAAGAAAAATAAAATGATTAATGAAAACTAAAAAAACATTACTCTGGTTCTGTCAAGATGCATCATATCTGCAATGAAAACAATTAAAAGGAGTGCATTATCAACTGATTGCAAAATTGACTCACATTTTCAAACTACAAATTAAAGATGAGCTGGACACAAGCAATTTCAGTCAATAAGAGTACAGAGTCTTCTAATTGATGAAAAAAACATACAGACACTAACTTCAATACATTTCTCTCAAATAAAAACTGAAAAAAAATCCATAAAAAAGGCTAAATTTGTCTCTAAATATCATCAATCACTCAACATCGAAAAGGATCATTTTTCAAATGCTCAAGATTTATAGTCATCTGCTAAAATTCACATATATTGTCTCTGAGGAGAAACTTTTAAAAACTTGATTCAGCCGTCTCATTCAACAAAATCAAAACACAATTGAGCTTCAGTTGCTTAAAATTTTGAAAGTGTGATGCTTGAAAATTACATTGCAGAATGTTTGACACAAATCTTTGTCCACCAGCCAATCAATACAGGTTCAAACACTAATAAAATATGAGAGTTCAGGTGGTTATAGTAATCATCATAATGTAACATAAAAGAGAATTAGCTCAACTTTGGATCATCCAAGGAGCACAAAAAATAGCATCACCTCAAAGTATGCTAGGGCTACTTATTCTTTACAGTTGTCCAGCCAAACACGAGGAAAGACTACTAAACGGAAGATGCTAAACTTTGCTCAAATGTCAAGGTATAGAGGAAAGATGATCAACATGCTTCAGGTCGTTTGTGCTTTCCCGACAATTTCTCTTTTGAAAATTCACTAAATTGTTAATTTACTATATCAGATACAAAGAATTACGTCACATATATTACCATTACACTTGAGAAGGAAGCAAGATTTTGCATCTGAGAGTTTGCTTGAGATTGACTGAGTGCATTGTTCAATTCTTGGACATTTTCAAAAGCATAATCTGGTGTAGATGAGGGAAAGTTGTATTGATTTCCATGTGCCACTTCTGGGTTTTCATGCTTAAACACTTCTGGTTGTGAAGCAGCAGGTGAATCATAACTCCCAGAATTTGCAGTGGGTCTAAGAACTAAATCACCATCTGAGGCAGTTATGACAGAATCATCCCCATAGTACTCGGAATTTCTGCAAGGGAAAGGTTGTTGACATATATTACAAACAATTAACAAGTAAAATAAAGAAATCACATATTCTAAAGGAAAATGTACCTTGTGTTCGACTGCCCCGCTGATGAAGCATCTGCATCTGTAGGTGCCTCATCCAAGTTAGTTTTCAACGGCCTAGATGCAAAAGGCCCGGAAAAGGCAGTACCAATGCCAGATCCAAAGCTACCAAAGCTCAAGTGTGAGCAGTTTGCGATCTGGGCTTGCAGATGATTAGGAATAACTACAGAATGGCCATCCTCTTCAGGTGGTGCTCCCTGGTCCTCTTGCATGCTCACTCGTTGCAAGTTAGCAAGTCACTGATGATACCGAGACACCAACATCTTCAACTGCAACGGAATGATACGTATTAAATTAATGTCAGGTTTTACCAATCTATCTATCATCTAAAAGAATCAAATCGCGTGAGAGGGCAGGGTAGAATCTCTAGAATGGGTTAAGATGTAAATACTAAAAAGCAAAACTAAGTACAATGAAAACCATGAAAATCGCATACTATGATTGCAGAATGGTATTCAACTCTTTAACCCAATGGCTTCAAGCATACCCATATGGCAGCATAAACTTTTGGCGCAGTGTGCTTATCTCAAGTAGATGTAGATAGCACATTTAGAATTTTTCTTCTTATATATCCATAAAGTGTTCAAGACAGTTGGACAGTAATCACACAATAAATGTATGTTTCCCTTTTCATTGCTTTTTTTCTTCTTATTTTTCATTTTAATCCCAAGAAGCCTAGACACTTAATCCATTTATAGCAACTTCTATTAGTTTCTACTTTCCGAAAAAAAACTTCTATTAGTTTCAGCTCGCTATGGTGGTAAAATTCTTTAGTGATTCCAAGATATACAATTAAAATACGTCCTCTCACCACCACAACTAGTAAGTTTTTATATATATCACACCAACATCTAGTAGTCAATAAATTTATAATAGTCACAAAAGTCACCTTCCTGATGCTCGAAAGCATGATTTTGATGTTGGTATGAACCCATGTTTCTATACAAGTCATTGTCATAGAGAGCTGCATCTCCAGAATTATCCTCCTGCATCTTTCTACTGGAAACAGATGCTGGTCCAACATGGTTTGCACCAAGATTTTCGATATCACTATCTTCTGCTTCCGAAACCTCATCCGCCTGGGATTCTGGATGCTGGTTAATTCTATCAAATGGCAAGTTAGAAGTATCCAGATGCAGCTCAGAATCTGGAGGAGACTCCAAGCCAGAAGGCACACTAGCATCTGGTGGTTGCTCAATCAAGGGCCACTCATCATTCGACGAAATATGTTGGGCTGAAGCAAACCCTGGCTCAGGATGCATCTCTAAAACCTTAGGAACACCATCCCCAGAAGAATTCAAATCATGATGGGATGCAGTGGACAGAGCTCCCTGAATACGATGATGATTAACACTCTGGTGAAGTGCATTTGCCGCACTGGAAGACTTGCCTTGCGGCCTGCCCATCTTCACAATATCAGCCATTGATACCTGACCAGAACCCCCAACCAAACAGATTGATATCCAGAAGACGGATGTGAGGCTGATGAAATATGATCAACTGCACCTACTGTTGGCACTTTATTTTCGGCCATAGTAGATTCACTGCATCAAATTTTATACTATTAAAACAAACAACTTCCAAAAGCAGGCAAAAGATTGGAAAGCAGAATTGGTGGAAAAAAATACATGTGATTCCTCCAACAAAATTAAAAAAAAAAAAAAAGGAAGAATCGGATGAAACATTTATGAGTAGTCAATTCTCCAATATAAAGTTCTGACTCAGAGAAGACAAAGAAAAGCAATATATTTCAATGTGAACTGAATACAGGGGAAACATTTTAACAAATACAGAATGACAATTCTGTTTGACATGCTGTCACATTCTATATTAGATCAAGATCAAGTGAAGTACTGCTTGAAAGCAACTATTCTGCTTAGGAAAAAATAAAATCATGCAGGATACCTTAACAATTCTCAAATTCTATGTTTGAGCTACAGTGGTAAAGTGGCATGTAAAATAACTAAAATAGAGGAGAGGAAGATATCAGCAAAACAAGTATTTCAAGCTTCATTACACTACTGAAATGAAGAGATAAACAGCGTAGTGATGGGGATCGTGTTAGGATTGGATAAATATTGTGGATTTATCTTACAATTTATTTATTTATTTAGTGTTAGACTGAGATTAGGAATCTGGATTTATGGTATTATAAACAGGCTGCAGTAATTTTTTTAAGAGACTTTGACTATTGATTTATTGAGAGTATTCCTCTCTGCTAAACTTTTTCTTCTCTTATCAATCCCCTAATTCCCTTCTTATCTACATCACGTGATCGAACAAGACAAATTATGCCAACACAAAACTACTTCAGCACTAAAGATTACAACTCAGGAATAATCCTTGCCAAACTCAACAAAGAATTCTTAAAGCACCAAGGAAACAACTTTAAGAAGTAGAAACTTCTAATTAATTGAGAATATTTGATAAATAAAACCTTTCAATCTCCAAAAACAATTCAGCAATCCATCCTGGATTGAGAAATTGCGACCAAGTAACCAAAACTCATACTAACCCTGAATCAAACTGCCCTAACATTCAAATTCAGTCTATTAGTGCATATTTAACATAAAAACTTCAGAGCAGACCACATAGGGTAAGGACGGCGAGTGTATGAAGGCATTTCGCTTGTTCACCAAGCTCAATATGGGCACATGCAAAACATTGAGCTTCATGAAACAATTCAATCCAACAGATCTTATGCCATTCAGCTGGCTGCATTACAACCCCCATATTTGTAAATGCAGAAGAGATGTGCAAGTTGAGATTCTAATGATACTAACATGGGGGCTTGAGGTCGCCGATTTGGGTTATTTCCTGCCATTCCAGATGCTGAAGATGGAGAACTTGTAAAAAAATTTGTTCCATTTTCCTTCTTGTATGCAGGTTTGCCATGTATAGCACCAGGTTCTGATAGAAAAGTGACGAGTAAGAACATGTTCAACAAAATCAACCAGCATGTTCCAATTACACACAAAATGTCCTGCCCAAAATTGTAATTCAACATGCACATACCAGAAGAACTGAATTGGGTTGAGCCACCACGTCCAATGTAGCGGTCTGTACCACTCCTGCTCCCACGGTTTGAAGCACTACTGACACCACGAGACCTGAATTCTGTTGTGTCCTTATTCTGAAACAATCAAAGAATACAATTAAATCCAAAAGACCTGAAAAAAGACTATTTTCTGTTTCAGGGGACTCATTTACACAGTAGCCCTTGTGTATCTTATGTATATTGAACTCAAGATCTCCATTAGGCACTGTCACCGTAATTTCACACAACTCTCGTTCCAACCAGAGGTGGGAAGAAAGTAGTGCCCCCCCCACAAAAAAAAAAGGGTCAAAATCAGGGATTTTTTATTAACATTATGCTGATCACTCGAGTGGCCAACCATGGCTTAAGAAAAGGCAGAAACTCTACCGGTAAGCTATGAAATTTAGATTTGCTGAGCTCTTATGAAACCACTCACCTCTTTTTTCTTATCTCGTTTGCTCTTCACCTCATGGAAAGGATCTAGCGAATTCATTAAAATCATATCAGAAATGAGAGCAGATACTAACAAAGCAACATAAAACCACATAAAGATAAGATCTACGCCATAAATTAGTACACCCTTACATCACTCACTGTTATCTACCCATAAAGGCAAAAAACAGTGTTCAAAACTTCAAGTGAAGTAAAATGACTCAAGTTGATGCTGAAACGTCCACAAGTCAGATACTCATATGTTATGAGGGCAGAGCTAAAACTTTCCATTTGCAGGGTGTGGGTATCTTGTGCGTGTGTGTTTCTTTATATAAGCCTAAATATTACAGAAAATGGAATTATAGATCGTCTTAAGGTGAAATTAGTACTGCGCCCATACACTAGAGAGTTATTCTGAGGGCATTTGTTAAATGTATTAAAATTTCTGACCTTTCAAATTTCAATTATAACATCAAGTTAATTTAATCAAATCAATAAAAAAGGCTATTTGTTATTTTCACAAAATATCATGTATTTGGTTTTTAAGACCATAAAATATCAAGATCATGAATTTGGTACGATGATTAAATTCAAAGTTGGTGCATATTATGTTGACTTACAGTGATCATATGGGTTAATAGTGCCCAGTCCAAAAAATAAATTAATCCAAACGTCACCTTGATTGTGGGTCGTTTTGGTACATTGTATAAGTACAATTACACGGTACAACACTTTCTTATGTACGCGGTACAATAGTGGTAAGCTTAGTTGGTCCAGTGGTTTAGGTCAAAATTCGTTTTGAAACTCTTCTCTACGTCGTTTTCACTATTATACAATATTATATATCATAGAACATCCATAATCACTAATCAGTTACTATTTATCTTACATTTGTGCTTGATTTTCTATTATCTAAACACATTATATAATTGTAGATTTATATACACGTAATTAATTAATATATATTTTACATTTGTGCTACATGTTCCGAAGCGAATCGATTTAGTGTTAATATTACAAATTGGGATCGTATATTTTGGTGATCTAGATCACAAACCCACTCTATTTGAAATCGATATACCCAAATCGTAGGTCGTCAGAAGTTTAGTTAATTCTGGTAACTACGAATCCATCTGTTAATCAACCTTGAGAGAATACCAAAATGTAACTTAAAATTTAACAAAGTTCATTTGGATTGTGATTGGCCTTTAAAAAAGATTACAACATCTAATGAGCATGTTAGCTATCTCAATATGCTTCATTTTATTCTTGATTTATTTTTCTTTTCAAGGGGTGGGAGGGCACGGGGTGGCAAACTCCTATAAAAACTCTAAGGCAAAGCAACACAAGTACAAAGGACTCCAGAACCCCTGGCCAAAAAAAAACTAGAACTCTTCTGCCCTTTAACACCCTTACTAAACTTATAGACAAGGCACAACAACCCACCCCAGCCAACATTTTGTACAAAAACACTAAAAATGATCATACCAATAGAGTATCAAGGAGGTCGAGAATTTTTGAAGATAAGATAGTGGATGAGTTTGGTTTGTGGGAAAGAACTTGCTTCTAAGTGTCTTTTAGGCATCAATGTCTCCTGTTTTGTTGGAATTTCATTGTTTTTACTAGGGCAGCTTGGAAATCTGTCTATGATACGTAATTTTGCTTTTTGCCATTTTCTCTTCTCTTTATTGGTGGAATTCTCATCTCCGTGTAGTATTATTTCTATTATATAAGACTTCTTCTGTTTCTCTTTTAAGTATTATTTCTATTATTTTCTTAAAAAATGAACGAGTAGAAAAACATACTATAGAAACCACAATGTTCTTATTCCTAATTCTACTTGTCATCACTTACATAGGACAAATGCGGGATAATGATATATTTTCCCTCGACGGGGTCTGACATAGATTAACCCTTTTCAACAAATAAATATATTTTTCAGTGATACTAGTAAAAGTGTTTTTAATATTCTTTTTCAAAGAATGGTGTGTGTTATTAGCTATGTTATCAAGATGAAATTGCGCCCCCAACATTCTACAAGGTCAAGTGGCAAAAAAAAAACATAATAATAGAGTGTGCTTTAATAGTTTCAACAAGTGTAAAGAATACGGAAGATATTAGACACATTCTTTCAACTCAGCACATAATTCACCAAATGCATTTCAAGTAATTTTCCGGTCAAAATAAATCAAATAAAATACAAAATCTCAATTCCTTCCTGTACATATTTCAAGTTATTCAATCAAAAACCTGCATTAAATGATCAAAAAGTAAACTTCACCGCACAACATATCTTTAAAACTATACTACCAATTCAGACCGTGTTTGGCTGCTAAAAAAATGCAGCAAAAACATTAGTAATTATTACCTGATATCAATAGTAATTATCAAAATTTCAACTTTCCTTTTTTTTTTTTTGGTGCTGATCAAAATTTAAACTTTCACTTCTCTAAAACCAAAAACAATACACAAAGCACAAAACAAGTCCCTGGCATCATTTTGTTTCTTTTTTTCTCAAGTTTTCTCAATAATCAAATAGCAAATGCGTAAATATTTTCGCCATCGAAAGTTGAAACCCATTTTCTGAAAACCCAAAACAGTACACACCCCAAAAATACAAATGGTCTCAAAACTTTATTTTCTTTCCTTTTCCTATAGTTATTCCCAGCAACCAAACAGCATGTGAGTCAAAAATACCATCAAAAAATCAGAACCCATAAAAATTTAATAGACAACAAAAAAAAGTATATATTTATAGAGAGAGAGTTAGCGCACTATAGATTCGGGGGGAGAGAGAGAAACGCAGGGTTAATGTTTAAACCTTGTGAGAGAAGCCTATTAACGGCCTCGTTAGGGTCCATATTACAGTCTTTGAGCATAGCGTAGATCTCTTGTTCTGGACAGGTCACTATCTCCTTCAAGCTCTGTACCATCTTTCGCGATGCCGCTGGTATCGCTTGTACTCCACCACTACCTCCATTGTTACTGCCTCTTCCACTCATACTTGCCCTCACAAGAATCCCAGATCTAACACTTAAGATAGTGCCTTCTCTCTATTATACAGTCGCACTTCTCCCTCTCCCTCTCCCTCTCGGCTCTGATGCTATTGAATCCGCCGCGACTAGATATCCTATTAGCTTTCGAAAACCCTCTCTCTCTCTCTCACACGCACACAAGCATGTCTGTCTCTCACTCTAAAAACTTTTCTTTAAATATTTTTTTTTTCAAATGTATTAATTTTTTCTTTAAATTAATTACGGATTTTGAGAACAACTGGCCTATTTTTAGTTTTGTTAATAAGGAAAAAAGTTTCAAATTTAAGGCCATTTGGTTAGTTTTTCGGAAATTATTTTTTATTCTTAAAATTTTAAAAACACCTAAAACATGTTTGTTTAATATTTTTATTTTCAAAATTTTGAAAAAAAATGAGATTTAAATCAAAATACACAAAAAATAAATCTAACTTGTTTTTAGAGTATTATTTGATGAGATCTGCCATTTGAATTTCCTTAACGAGGTCTACCCTTTGAATCTCCTTAACAGTAAATTTTTTCATTTTTTTTTAACTTTTTCCTCTCTCTCATATATATATATATATATATATATATATATATATCTTATATATATATATAAGATATAAGATATTTATATATATTTATATATATATACTTATATATACGTATATAAGTATATATATAAATACTTATATACAAATATGTATATATATACATTTATATATATATAGATATATTTTATATAATATATATATATATATATTATGAGAAAAACATTATTATCACAAGATTATTTTCACAATATCAAAGTAAGAATATATAAATATTGAACAATGTTACATGGACTTAAAAATTAAATTTGATAATTTCAACCATTGATTTCACTATGGATTTCAACATTTACTGAGGCTCACTATCTCTTCAATAGTTGAGATTATTAAATTTGATTTTTAAATTTATCTAACATTATTCATAAATATTTAGAAAAGAAAGGTCCAGATTATTTTACCGGAGATATAAAATATAAATATATTACGTAATTTCAACGTAAAAATAATTCAGCTCAAAAATTTTGATCAAAACGCTAATCCGAACTTTGTTTCCCGCCTACGAAGAAGCCCCTCTCTCTCTCACGCCTCTTTCTCTCTCTCAAATCTTCGCCGATCCCACCCAAATCCCACCCCATTTTAGCTGCACATACACGGCACCAAGCACTCCGGCCCAAGCCACTCTCTCACCAATCAAAAGGCACGGGATGTTCCATATTTCCACACAACGAAGAATCACAAAGCTTGACGGGAAGAAGATGATCAGTCTCTTCTCTCACTACCCGTTATCATCTTCTTCTTCTACTTCTCTCTCTTCCCTAAGAACACTAAAACATCTCTCATTCTTAACGAAACCCAGAACAACCGTTTATTTGAAAAGGCCATTCACTGTGAATTCTCTTCTCTCACCGGAACCTGACCCACTTCCACCCTCTGTACAGACATTCTGGCAGTGGGTTTGTGACGAAAACATAGTCTCCCCCAAGTCACCAGTGAAGCCAGGGGTCGTACCAGAAGGTCTAGGATTGGTTGCTCAGAGATACATAGCCAAAAATGAGGTCGTTTTGGAGATTCCAAAAGGTTTTGGATCAATCCGGACACAGTCTTATCCTCGGAGATTGGGAACGTGTGTTATGGGTTGAAGCCTTGGGTCTCATTTGCTCTGTTTTTGATCAGAGAGAAGCTGAGGGACGACTCGCCGTGGCGACGCTACATTGATGTTCTTCCAGAGTACACGAATTCTACTATTTATTGGTGGGCCTGGCTTAAATTGCTTCTTTACTCTATAAACCTTTGTTGAACATGCTTATCACTTGGGTTATGTATTTCTTCTTTGTACTTCTACTGTTTTTGAGATGGGTTTGAAGTTTTTTGTGTTGATAAGTTTTGCTTGATGCTCTTCCAATGCAGGTTAGAAGAGGAGCTCTCTGAAATTCAAGGTCAGTATAGTTTCTTTAATTGGGCTTCGAGTTGTATTAAAAGACCTAGAATTTTGACGGAGTTACTGGTATGCTACATTAACAATTTAAACTTTCAGATGAGTGATGGTAACACATATTATCAGGATAAGAGATCTTTTATGGAATCTCGCCTTTACCCTAATAATCAAAAGATTTGCACGTGTTTGACATATTTTAGCTATTTCATTAGTTGCAGATCTGAAATTTATAACACTCACAAACTACATCAGATATTCAGATCTAAAATATGCCATATAGTACTTGAATCGAGTGTTCAGGCAAACTGGGTTGATAATTCCTGGTGTAGTCCGGATTGAAAGCGGAAGGACATGGGTTGGCTCTAACGATCGCCTCGGAGGGTTTAGGGTTTTAACACACAAGGCTAGAGACAATAGCACACAATTGCCGCCATGGATTCATTGAATCGAAACTCTGCAGAGTTACAAACGTTTCTCGAGGTAAATTCCTCCGATCATGTAGGCGTTTGTGTGGTCATATGCATATCTGTCTTTGTGGTAAGCATGATTTAGGGTTCAGGTAATAGGCTTTGCTTAATTTTGAGTGCATCTTTTGTGGCAACTTGATCACCGCACAATTCTTCCTTTGGTTTGGATACCCACATCAGAAGGAAGGAGAAAAAAGTGAAGAGAAAGGGGCGTAACGTACCTATCTGTTTGGTCTTTGTTTTCTATTATGCAACAAGAGGAGGAGGAGCTCATTTATATTTTTAATTTATTTGTGAAAGTTGGGCCGATAATTTGAGACGTAAAAAGTTGAGGCACACCTTCCTTCCCTTAGACGTTGTAACCCATCATCTGTCATGTCACCGAAAGCCGCTCAAGTTGTTGATTGAATTGTTCAGAGAGCAGCCCATCAAATGCTCACCGTGTAAAGGTTCATTTTTTGTTTTGGGGGAATTATTATATGATCTTTGTGAAATGTTCAACTTTTGATTAGGTAAACACTACATTCTTCTCCGGGAACTTACAGTTGACAGTCGTTGTGAGGAAACGTTTGTTTTGGTGGTTGAGGTGTAGAGCCCTTATGAAATCAGCCAATAAGGGAGATGGTGTTGTTTGTGAGGTTGGTCGCTGAAAAAATTGTCGGATATTATTGAAGAGGTTAAGATGGTTTCTGGATACAAAGGGATAGTTTTCTTCTTTAGTTAATTGGTTGACCTTTTTTTTCAAACAGATGAATAATGAATTGCACATGGATTGAAATGTAGAATTCTACTCTTTGTTTTGTATATGCAAAGTGCAACCTGATGACCTTCAGCGAGTGGTCTTGGTAGCATTAACTTTTCTATATGGCATATCAAGCCCATTGGGGCAGTCCGCAGTTGGCTACCTTGATACTACTAAGTCCAAACCAGGAGATCAAAGGGCCAATCTTGATCTTTTATGTTGCTTTCTTTGGGGATTGTATTCTACAATTCTACTATTCTTTGTGCTATTTGTGGGGGTTTTATTTTGCCTTTATTTTGAGTTCAGATTTTGTTCACTATATCATACTACTAATCCATTGTTGCATATCCAAAAATAAAGCGTATGGGTTGTAACCAAGATATCTTGAATTTTATATAATTTTTGATAAGGCTCTTTTGAAGGATGACATTTATGTCAGCATATCATTCTGTACAATGGGAATGTCCTGAAAATTTTCTTGATGGTCTCTTGCAACAAGAAAAGAAGAAGGCCATGCTAAATGAGATGGTTGCAAAGGTCACAAAGGAATGCTGGGACAAGTGCATTACTGGTATATTATCTTATTTTTCTGTCTCAGGAGTCATTTATGTAATTATTTATTGCATGAAACTATATGTTTATTGGTAGTTGGCTATTAAGTTTTTTTTTTCCATTGATTATATTGCATTCTATTATCATGTAAAAGTGAGTGTTAATCAAAATTCTGCAAAGTCTAATTTGAGGGGTTTTATTTTAATGCACACTACATGACTGAAAAAATGTCATAGAAAAGAAAAAGAAAAAGAAATCTGACCCAGCCCCTAGTCGATCATGAAGAAGCTCAAGTTGTTACGAACATGAAAGACAATAAGAGTAAGAAGAAATAATATCAACGGAAAAACGGAGTCACAAAATGATATTGTAATTCTTTGAATTGAATGTCAAAATAAATTTTTTGTTACTTTGTTAATTTTTTGATTTAATTGCTTGAGTTTTTGTTATGTTATTTGATGTTATTTGATTCAGTCAATACCTCTTCTACCCATTGTATTATGTGTTCTACATTGATTAAAATATCTCTTTGGTTCAAATAAGTTAATTTGTTTAAGTTTATATATTATAGATTTTTGGCCTTACATTTGGTCCAATGCAACTAAGTGGAAAGTTTGATAAATTTGAATGAAAAATTTAAATTGAAGTTTTGAAGGCACTACGATCTTATTGTTGACTCATTACCGACTCATTACTGTTACTTGCATCAAATAGATTTTTGAATTTGGGCGGCGCATGTAGCATATTGTTGACTTTCTCTAGCTCTTCCAAGTTGACTATCACTCTTGAATTTCTATAGCTTTTCTTTAGCTCTTTCTTTGCAAACATTTGGAGATGTATGAAAGATTCATTGTTATTTTTTTTCAACAATTGTGTTCTTGAAGTAGTTGAATTCGTGAATACAACTGAGATAGGGTTGTTTGATTATTGAATTTGGTTAATTATTTGATATAGTTTTGTTGAAATTGTTGTTGAAAAATTATTTGTTGATTATTTGATGTAATTTTGGTGGATTATTTGTTGAACTACATTTTTTATAGGACCATGATAATATTTGTGATTAATCTAAATAGATTTGATGGTAAAAGATTATTCTCTAAATTTTCTAATACCACCCATTTATGTCATATCACACCTCTGCTATCACACTCTCTCATTTCTCTCATTCGTCTTTTCTCCAATTGACGACTTAACTTTGGTGTGTTTCAGCGACTCCAACATGTTGAGTCGAGTTGATCTCCCTTTCTCTCTCCCTTTTTTTCTCTTCTCCGACCTCTCTCTCACTCAAAATCTCTCACGGTACACACCC